GCAGATGCCCTGGCAAAAGCCATAGATTGGAGGTAAAAAATCTGTCCAGCGGAAGAGAATGAAACTCGATCTTGTATCCTGATGGAATGATCTTGTGAACCCACTTGTCATGAACGAGGGAGGTCCACGGGCCCGGAAACCTGTGAACATGCCCCCCCACCCTTGAAGCGGGTCGGGACAAACCTTTATGCCGAGGGAGACTTATCTGTGGGCTTGGAGGGCTTCTGAGGCCAGGGATTCTTGATGCCACCTGCGGGGGCTTTCAAGGGCCTGGAGCCCTTGGCTATGGAGCTAGAGGGACAAAAAAATGCACTTATGTGCCATAAACGTTGGTTCCAACTTCCGACCAGGTTCCTTCCTTTTCTTGGCCTGAAGGAAAAAGGTACTCTTGCCCCCAGTAAGGTTCTTGATGATGTCATCCAGGGTAGCCCCAAAAAGACGGTGGCCCAGGAAGTTAAGGTATGCCAGAGCCTTCTTGGAGGTCTGGTGCGCCGACCAACACATGAACCAAAGGACCCACCAGAACACAACAGCCGAGATGGACAGTTTGGAAAGAAGTGGAGCTGCATCAAGGGCAGCGTCACAAATGTACTTTAAGCCCTGGACCAACTGGTCCACCAGTCCCACATATGTTTGGGGCAACGGAGTAGAAGGTAAGCCTTATCGTAGAGCCATGGCTAATTCCGTCAGTGTCTTGGACACCAAGGCCGTAGCCTACACTAGCCTAAGTGCCATTCCGGGGACAGTGAAAATTGAACGGGCCACCGCCTTCGCCCTTCGGTCCACTTCTTCAGAAGAGCCTCCTCAAAGGGATAACACACTGCAAAGCTTTTGGGAAGCACAAGTGGATGCTTTGGCCTATTTCAATCCTTATAAACAAATCTGTAAAAATATTCGGAGTAAGGAAAAACCTTAGCAGCCCGAACAGGCTTGTGCATACAAAAAGGAATAGGCACCACAAAAGCTGCCCCTGCAGGGTCCTCAGTGTTTAGAAGTTTCGTGCACCGAATCAATAAGTGCCGCTACCAATGCCTTCTCATTGAAAGACGTGCTGAAGAGGTTACAATTTGCCAAAGAGCACATTGACTGGCCTAAAGAGAAATGGCTCAACATTTGGTGGACTGATGAAAGTAAGATTGTTCTTTTTGGGTCTAGTGGCCGGAGACAGTTTGTCAGACGACCCCCAAACACTGAATTCAAGCCACAGTACACTGTGAAGACAGTGAAGCATGGTTGCGCAAGCATCATGATATGGGGATGTATCTCATACTACGGTGTTGGGCCTATTTATAGCATATCAGGGATCATGGATCAGTTTGAATACATCAGAATACTTGAAGAGGTCATGCTGCCTTATGCTGAAGAGGAAATGCCCTTGAAATGGTTGTTCCAACAAGACAACGAACCCAAACACACCAGTAAACGTGCAACATCTTGATTCCAGACCAACAAGATTGAGGTTATGGAGTGGCCAGCCCAATCCCTGGATCTTAATTCAATAGAAAACTTGTGGGGTGACATCAAAAATGCAGTTTCTGAGGCAAAACCAAGAAATAGAGAACTGTGGAATGTAGTCCAATCATCCTGGGCTGGAATACCTGTTCACAGGTGCCAGAAGTTGGTTGACTCCATGCAACACAGATGTACAGCAGTTCTCAGAAACAGTGGTTACACAACTAAATATTAATGAAGTGATTCAAAGAAAAGCAAAATCTTCAAACATTTTTCAGTTTATATAGTGAATGTTTGAGTTTGTAAAGAAGAATACAAACACTGCTATTTTTTTGAACAGTCTAATATTAACTTTTCTTCAATTTCTTTTTAGAGGAACAATACAAATTTGATATATTTTTCTTCATGTTTTCATTTGGAATAGAATGTGTAGTGTTCCGAATGCATTTGTGTGTATGGAAATAAAAGCTATTAAAAGGATTTTGAGCTTTATTCACTTTTTTCAACACACTATTATTTTGAACACAACTGTATATTCCAGTATCACTGATATTCTATTTTCACCATTTACGTTTAATCACTTTTAGAATCATTTGCTATTGTGGATTCATTTCCAACTGGGGTGGTTATCCAGGAAGGTTTTACATCCATTACGTATTCATGATGGCACAGTCAATGAGAAGGTAAAGGAGAGCTATACATGGCTATCTGAGCATGTGCACCCCTTTAGGTGAATGAAAAGTGACTATCCTCTGTTTCCTCTGCATTCATCATTTTTCCATGACTTTATCCCTAGGAGTTCATCCAGTTTCACTGTGTATTTCATGAAGGAACAGTTCAAGAAGAATTTTTCTTCACTAGGATGTACTATATGGACCTTTATTGCTGATGAATACAGAAAGGAAACCCCATTGCCTCATATGGATCCATTCTTGCCCATACAGCCATATTTGAAGACGCCGAATGGTTGTTTTAATTTTAATTCTTTGATTTTACTATGATTGCAACATGTTCACCATGTTAATGTCAACCTTTCTATGATCCATGTGATCTAATAAATACAACATAGCATTGAATTTTTTTGTAGTGAATATTACTCCGCATGGTATTTAATTAACCACTTTTTAGGCGGTTATGCACTAGTCAACTGCCATTTTTTTCTGTGTAAGGAGAATCAAGCACTGCAAGGGGTTCAATCATTCATGATGGAAAAGGACTCCTAGGTGGGAAGGGGTGCAAGTTTAATTCCCAATGACAAGTTCCCATCAAGGTAGCAACTAGAGATCCCAGGGTGTGGGGAACTCAAACAACCCTAAGAAAAGCAAACTGGGGTGAAGAAATCCCCAAAGGAGCTGCCTTCAAAGGTCTACATTGGAAAATCCAAACTGTGAGGAGGTAAGGACTCAGTGGGGTAAACAACCTGCCTTCAGGCAGAAGGCTGAGCAGAGGAGACAGAAAACTCTTCTGGCTTCAAGATCTGTGGCTTCAGTGGCAGGTGGACTTGCTAACGAGCTTCTACTGCAGCAATAGGTGAATGATTCTTCTGCTCCAAACACAGACTTCCTGTGCTAAGGCAAGTGCACATTCCGACCTTCAGTAAGATCTAGAATTACATTGTCATGGGCAGGTCTGAGGGGATGTTCTTCCTGAAAGGGCAAGTAAATAGATTGTTCCATGTGGCACATCCTTGACATCCCAGGCACATAGCCAAAATGCTCTAGCACAAATGAACAGACATCATCCCCATGTGATACACAAGCCTGGACAAGCTTTTGGTGTGCTGGCAACATATTTTTCATTTTGCAATAAACTCTCAAAGAAGAAAAGCTCTTTCGTGTTGTCAGGAGTGGCCCATGATTGTGTAGGTTGTTTCCAGTCCGCCTAGAGGCCCTAGGCCTGAAACAGCAGGCTGATTCTCCAAATACCGGGTAAAACATACTACGTAACTCAGCTTACAAACAACTCTTTGTAAATTTGAGTCATAAGGAATTTTATCAAATACAGACTGTGAGGACTCAATCTGCATCAGAGGTGGTAACAGGAGCCTCAGGCACTCTTCGCAATGGAGGCCCAGTAGGGTCAGATTAAGCCCCTGCCGTGGTTGGTGCCCGAGCATGCCTAGAGCCTCTGCTAGCAGTTTGCTCCAGTAATTTTGCAGACACCAAGAAAAAGTCTGAAGTGGACACAAGGGGCCCAGTGCACACATGAAAGATCTCAGCACTACCACGCAGAGCTATAGAAGACTCCAACCAGGATGACCCTATAATAATAGGAATCTCATTATCTAGGTTACAGGTATCGCTTCCTTCTGGGGATACTGAAAAAAAACCCTAAAAGAAGTAAAGGTGTATGGGCTAAGATCACCTGTTGCAGTAGGACTCTCCTCTGCAAGTCTTTAACAAGACATGCTGTATCAGGTAGCAGAAAACAACTAGGCCCAAAGAGAAGTCCCAGGAGTAGTCTACTCACAAACTCAAGGCAATCCAAGGAATGGAGACCAGATGATCCACGAGGAGCAGCAGTGAGAGTTACTTACTGTAGGCTGAATGGCAGGGGAAGGAGGCGGAGCTTCTGCATACAACACTCCACCTGGCAGAAGACCTCAACACTTCCCTTAGCCATAACCTTTCTACCAGACCCCATAGCAACTGCACGGGCTGCTTTGGCTATAGTTATGCCACTGATTAGCTTTACAAAGGGACATTCAGAATGTCGATGACTAACATATATCTTAAAAACCTTTACTGTAAGCAAAAAAACACAAATGAGAATAGCACTATGAGAAATAGCAAAAGACAGGCCATGGGTATGCCACTACAAACTAGGATTTTCTTCTAATGTGATAACCCATCTAAGAAATGACAGCATGATGAAAAGACTTCGATGAAGGAGTCATTTTTCAGTGTTCACTACAAGCACGCCTGTGACAGGGGTGTCTACTGGAAAATCACACAAGACAACATGCATACTAATGTAATAAAATTCTTGATTTTAGACTGACAATTCTGAACATTTTATGTGATATATTAGTTTGTTGCGCTACACTATATTATTATTCATTAATTCTGAACATGTTTGAGCAAAAAAGAAAATACAGTGAATTTGAAAGCCTCAAGGTCCATTCATGAACAGGAGCTTTTCAGGACCCATGCAAGACGAAACACACACAGTTCCTGCGGTATATCTCACTCTCCCATTTTATTTTTATTTCATATTAGAATGCATTCATTAGGAGGAGTGGAACTATTAACAGAAGGGCAAGAACACCCAGAAAAACAGGTTCTATGGAAAAAAAAAAATCAGGCTATTGGTTGTCACCTATGAAAATTTCACTATTGTGTGGACTCTTAAACTGATTGGGTGTTTGAAATAATGACATTAACTAGGTAAAAAATACAAATAATATTAACTATAGTATATGGCATCTGAATATTTTAACCTATATACCTATCTCTGTTCATTGTTCCTATTTTGAGCACTCTGAAGTATAAGTGGAAAACAAAAAAAAACCCTATAAAAGTTAGGAATCAGATATGCAGGTAGGATACCTCTTTCCGAATAGCAAGTTCCAGATTCTCCACTCGTAGGCCTTTCTCTAAATTGTGCAAATTTTCATGCAAATTCTCCTTTTTTCTAGGAGTGTAAGGCACAAAGTCACCTTCTAACTTCAGGAAAACAACTGGCTCCTCACGGACACAGAAGAACATACATTCCTGCAGGATCAACAAAATGAAATATATTTGAAATACACAGTAAATATATTTAGTAAAGTGGATCTGCCATGCACTATGCAATCTGATTGTACAATCTCTGTACAATGTTCATCCGATTTACCATCTGAACTACCAAAACTGATATGCAGACAAAAATAACCAATCCATTACATTTGTATCTAACTGCACTGTCCCTTGTACTATATTATTAAATGAGATTGTACAATCAGATTATAAATTGTATGGTTAGCAAAAATTAGACCCCCCCAACTTGTAAAATTATTGCATAAATGAAAAAAACACATTCACACATATGCAGTGGGGAAAATAATTATTTGATCCCCTTCAGATTTTGTAAGTTTGCCAACTTACAAAGAAAATAAGGAAGGGTCTACAATTTTTATCATAGGTGTATTTTTAATGATAGAGATAGAATATCAACCAAACATCCAGAAAAAAACACGATACAAATGTTTTTAATTGATTTGCAGTTCAGTGAGTAAAATAAGTATTTGATCCCCTACCAACCAACAATAATTCTGGCTCCCACAGACTAGCTATACGCTCATGTGGTACACAGATTAGTTCTGTCAATTTAAGAATGCGCTCCTAACGACAACTTGTTATGTGTACAAAAGACACCTGTCCACAGAATCTTTCTTCCATTCAAACCTCACTGAAAGCTATAATATAAGTTATATAAACCACTTTCCCACATTTTACATTACTGTAGTGATGAGGTAAATGGTTCTTACTTTCACAAAAGGTTAAGCAGGTGTGGTAAAACACATACAAGTGAGTGGTAGAACAGGCAAACTGGTCTAAAATCATTATAGAAAAAGCTCGAAAACTATTGACATGTTCTAGAATAAACCCATTAAATTTTCCAGAACTTTTCACCTATGTCTGAGAATTTGGTTCAAAAACTACTGCTGGCAAAACCATGGTGCAGCCAGTCGTGTTGTGCACTTTTACCCTGACATTGTGTTTTCTATAGTAATATGTGTGGGAGAACGTTAACTATATGACTTTGTACCACTATTAAACAAAAGAACACTGGATATAACTGCTGATTAAGGCCCATTAGATCAGTGTCACATTATTGTTTCTGTTATCTATGTGATTAGTAAATAAAGTCATGCCTTTCTCACAATTTCATACCTTATGTCCATCATTCTGTAGCTTCTGTAACACTTGCTTAAAACCATTCAGGCTGGGCTGGCCCATTCCATAGACTTCATAACCTCCTTTGGCTTGACGGAAATTAGGTGCCCCGCAACTGCTTGTTGTGTTTAACACATCTAGCTTGCTGTACACATCATGAACCATAAAATATTTTCCCTGACACAAGGAAAAACATAAAGTGAAGTAACGGATAACAACATGACAGGCATTTTGGATGGGCAAAATACAGGAATTACCATTGCTGATCTCCTGTTAGGGAGCTCTGGCACATTGGCAACTGAGCCAGTTCAGTACAATTGCAGCCATCTTTTCTCTGCCCAGGCAGCCCAGATGCAGCATACAACCTTTTACTGACATGAATGGCTGTGCTCTGATACACTCTTGTATACACTGGTGCCATCGTATACAACACATACAGCGTAAAAGATATGCGAAAGATATACATTTTTGTGTTTTTTGCATACACTTGTACGCTGTACTGTGTTTACAATACCACAGCTGTATACAAAAGTACAGTGGTGCGCAACCATTCATGACCATGACAGGCTTTACACTGCATCTGGGCTGCCTGGGCAGTGGAAATAGGGCTTCAATTATGTTGACCGGGTTCAGGTGACCCATGTGCAAGAGATTCCTACTTTCCTACCTTTTCTCCGGCTTTAATAGTTTCTGAATCAGTGGCATAGAACAGGTATGCAGCAATTTATAATAAAGACCACATACAGCACGCATGATATGCGCCTATATTTTAAGAAAACCTATCCTTACTTAGCCACAAACTTAAATATTGTACCTTTAGTTTTTTTTTTTTTAATAAAATCACATATAGCACACCCTACATCACTGTAAGCATTCTGGTTTACGCTGAACATGGAAGACATCTTCTTCTATACTTAAAAAACCCACTGGCTTTTTATAAATTAACTAATTTGGCAGAAAAAAAACACAGAATTCAAATTTTTCAGGTGTTTATTCTCTAAACTTTAGAGAATAAACACCTGAAAAAGTTGAATTCTGTTTTTTTTAGAGTCTAAAGTATTCCTTTGTGACAGAAATCCATAACAGTGAGTACAATTCTCCTTGTCATTTAGGCAATCTGCCACACTTGTTTGGGTAAACAGGAAAATGGGGGAGAGTGGGAAGTGGTAGGCCATCACATGACCATACGTGAGTGCTGTGGTGTTTATTTCTGTATTAAAGCATCCCAGAATTTGAAAGTACCAGGATGCTATAGAAAGTAAAGCACAGCGGGCACAGACACCAAAAAGGTACCTGCATTATCTTCTTAACACATTTAAAAAGGCCGCTCTACTGAAAATGGAACTTCAGCCAATTCTTTTTTTTTATACAGTAATAAAGGGATTACAATTTCAGGCTTTTTCTGCTGTTTGTGATAGATTTCTCTTTATTTCTGGTTCCAACAATGGTAATCACTTCTGTAATCCCCCTGGCCAGCAGTGAAACATAACATCTAGAGGAGGAGATGATAAACCATCAATTGCGATCTACCCATTCATTTCAGGTACCTGATAGAGAAATTGCATGCCTGGAGCATCAGTGGCATTTACTGGAATCGTTCCCTGTATTTTCCTCCTGCAGGAGCTGAAAGCCTGCTTTTCCTCCTCCCCCTCCTGCCCTGCCACCCCTGCTGCCCCTCCTTTCAAGGCTCTGCTTCCCTCTGCTGCCCGGGACCCCTGTGTGCTCCACTGGTCCCCCCCCCCCCATTCCCCTCGCAACACTGCCAGCTTCCCCTCCTCTCCAACCGGATGCGGGGATCGTTTCAGGATGGAGGAGAGAGCAGCAGAGGAGCCCCTTCCATTTCTCAATGAGTGATCAGTACCGATCACTCACTTGTTTATTCATGACTTAAAAATAGTAAACTGTGTTTACTATGCTTCAGTTTGTGAATACAGAGGGAGGCAGAGCTCTTCCTGTTCATTTACTCTGTTCTGCTGAGGCTGCAGATATGGAGATTGAGGACTGTATGCATCCTCAATCCCAAAATACATTAAGGGTCCTGTTTAGACCCCCTGATAATTCACCAAACTCCACCAACAGGGCTGCTAAAAAAAATTGCAAAAAATTATAAAAAAAAAATCAAATTGCATCCAGAAAAAAAAGAAGAATTTGAAAAAAAATAACAGAAAAAAAATAGTGACACCGTCCACCGCTCTACTGACATCATCCACACACTGTTCACTGCCCTACTGACACTGACTACTGCTCTTCTGACTGACAATATCCACTTTTAAGGTAGGCTACATTTATATTTTTATATATATGAGCAAACCCTTTGGCGCTATATAAACTCGATAAATAAATAAATAAAAATAAAAATAAATATTTTTACAGTGACATTTGGTTTATTATATTTTTTCTTACTAATTAGTTAGGCCTATTTCTCAAAATATCTGGTGATCTTGGATCTCTTTCATGTTGTTCAGGTACATCTACCCCTGATCCAGAGAGCAATAGGTATCTTAACTTTATCCAAAACTAAGAAATGTTTGCCTGTAGTTACATTTTAAAAATAATCTAGAGCTGGCTTGTCCCAGCCTTACTGCAGATAATGCATCACAAACATTGTATGTAAAGCACAGTTTGAATCAATATGCCAGTGACAACCTTAGGTAATAGTAATATATTGTACAAGATTTACCTGTACAAGATAGTGTTCTGGCATTGTCTCAGAAATCCTCCCAACAGAGTAACTTGCTTTAAGCAAATCATCATGAATCTGGAACTCTTCTTTACAATTGTACCTGAAATGAAAGACATCTAGATCACCCTCACTACAGATTATGGTTTATAACAAAACTTATACAGCAATCACTGGCAAGTACATACTTGATCCAGAAAAGTGATAAACAAAAATTCGAAAGTGGGCTATTAAAAATGAAATGTGAAATACAAACTATAATACCAAAATAGATTTCTCTTACAATAAATGAATTAAAAAAATAAATAAAATCACTAAACTGAAATGATTAAATATAATGTGGAAATTATAGTAAGCTTCCTATCTCTTATACTGCACATCTGCCAAAACAAAAAGTCAAGTCAGTGTGGCTAATGCATTGCCACAATACCTTTTGCATTTTAGATGCTTACCTGCTCTTTTGAAGTATCCCATTCAATGGATTGCAGTGGGACAAAACAACATAAATGCAGCATGTAGGACTTTTCCCCAGCACTGCAATACAGAGAGCTGGTGGGAATGGGTGCTAGAGAAAACAACAGGTTTTCCTTTGTCTATTTTTTGTTCCCCATGTTAAAAAACACAACAAAATGCATGATAACATGGACAGCAAGAATAAGCTTCAAGGGTGATATCTTGTCAAGTCAGTGAAGACTGCTAAGGCAAAGCAACTGGATTATGGACACAGAGGTGATTATTATTTGGCTGTGCTTTTGCAGCAATCAAATTTGGCTGCCACAAAGCATATAAATAAAAATACTATAGTTTCCATTGAAAGTAATCCTGTTGTGAGAGAAACATTGAAGCAGACACTAGCAATCAACTTTAAAAAAATAAATATAATCTTTGGAAAGTGTGTTTAATGATTATCCCACTAAAAAATTCTTATCAGACTGCAATGTAACTCAATGCAAAACATCTTAATTCCATACTCACGTTATAACTACAGGGGCGACTTTATTGGTGATGATGGATTTTGCTTTATTGTGGATGCCTACTGTCTGGAATGAATGAATGCTCAGGCTATTTCTGTCTTCTCCACTTGAACTTCCACTGCCATTTCCTTGGATGCTGTCACTGGGGGGTACTATTGGGGCAGGCTGTTGAGCTGCACTGGCAGTTGTACCCATGCTCCACAAGCGCCTACAGATAAAATGTAACAATGCATAAAACAGAATTAGTCTAAAAAAGGATAATCACAAATAAAACCATATATTTTTTACCTGGACATGATTATTAACCGCTAGCCATCCGCCCTATAGAAGAAGCACTGCTACAGGGCAGCAGGGCTGCGCAAAATCACAAATAAATATGTGCCGCTATTGGTGGCTGGGGATGTCAATCACCGCATCCTGGCCCGCGATTCCCAACCAGCACTCAGTGATTGTCTGAAAAGCTGACAGGGGAGAGACCTGTGTGTAAACAACTCAGCTCTCTCTCCTGTCAGCATGGACATCCTGCTTTTTATCTCTCTGCACAGCAATGTAAAACACACACAGCACACAGTTAACCCTTTGATCACCCCACGTTACTTTTGTAACAGTGCTTTTTATTAGCATTGATCACTGTATTAGTGTCACTGGGGATGTCAGTGGCAGTTAATCAGTTCCCACCCAGTATCAGAATGCCCGCCATAGTCCAGCAGTCCCGCTATAAGTCGCTAATTGCCACCATTACTAGTATTAAAAAAAAAAAAATTCCAGTATATATACTGCCATGAGTAAAGTAAGACCGAGATTACCCTATTCCCATTGTGCACACTCAGCAATGTGGGACACCTTAAGCAGGACAAGAAAGATAGACAAAATTACACATTTTAATTCCTATGTCAGTGTTTCTCAACCTTTTTCGAGTAAGAGCATCCTTGAAAAATATTTTCAGATTCGCAGCACCCAAATCTAAGGCTTGGTTCACAGTAATGTGCATCATAGAAAGCAAAAGCGTTCTCGTTCCTGACATGCAGACAAATGTGTTACTCTTTAGCAGATGTGCAAGGGTGCTATTAATTCTTAATGGTACCCGACACATTGGCAAACAGTGTGTTTTTGGTGTGGCGTGATTAAAAAAAAAAAAAAAGGTGGGACTTCTTTCCCTGCGGTACTATGGGTAGGGCATCCCAATGAAATTAATTTCCTGCCCTACACACAGCATGCAGTCACACAGATGTGAGGTTCGGAGATGGTAAAACCACACGGTTGAGCCCCCAATCCCCCTTTAGCTGAAGAGGCAGCAGAAGGGGGTGTACACATACTGCCTCTGCAGAGCATGAATCGGTTTTCAGAGGAGCTGCGGTCTTTGGTGCGATTATAAACGAGCCTTAAAAAAAACGGTTCTGATAGTACAGGAATAGGGGGTCAGGATTAAAAGTAACACACATAAACATACACAGACATATAAACATACAAACACATTCAAACAGATATGAAAACACACACACACACTTAAAATATTCAAATAAGTACCTTCACTCACAGGCGGGTACTGCACTGTAGAGGGAGGCAGAGAACACAGCACATGCTGAGAAGACACCTCCCCCTCCCTAACTTTCACTTTTCAGAGTGCATTTGCTAGCTGTCCGAGCTGCTTCAGTGCTGATGTATGCTTTGGCTGATGACAGGGAGATTAATCTCATCTGACACCTTTTCTTAACCAGGATACAGCAACACCCCCAATGATCTCAGGCGACTCCCCAATAGAGAAAGGTTGCCCTATATTATTTATAAACAATCCCATCTGCATGAATCCCTTGCTGCCAACTGTACACATACATGCGGCCTCCCTGTTAGACGGAGGCAGGATAGGCTTCTCTGAAGAGAAAAGTTATTAGGAATCATCTTAAAGTGGACAGAGTAGGAGATAGTCGGACAGATTGGGATAGGGAATTCCAGAGGATGGGAGAGGCTCAGGAGACATCATGTAGGCGAGAATAGGAGAAGGTGACAATGGAACTAGAGAGCAGGAGGTCTTGCGAGGAACGAAGAGAATGGTTTGGTTGGTATTTTGGGACTAGGTTAGTGTAGCCAGGGGACAGAGTTGTGGATGGCTTTGTAAATTGTTGTTAGTATTTTGAATTTAATTTGTTGGGTGAGTGGCAGCCAGTGGAGGGAATGGCAGAGAGGGGTAGCAGACTCAGGGACGTTGGTAAGGTGCATGAAACTTGCAGCAGCATTCAAGGTGGACTTAAGGGGGTAAAGCTTATGTAAAGGTAAGCTTGGCTATCACTGTGATCGGTCACTGTACAGCCCACCCGTGTTTTTCTCCTCTGAATGGAGAGAAAGATGCATTGTATCATTTTCTTCCTGAAAGGAGAAAAATCTTTCGGAAATGGACCCATGTATGGCCGGTCTTAAACATAGTAAAAGGAGGACTATTAAGAACAGACCCAAACCAAAGGCTGTATTGTACTAAGTGAGAATTTGCCCTCATCAACTAAAGCTTGTGCTGTAAGAATGCTTCACCAACAGTCCCTCATCCGTGAGGTTCCGCCAAAGTGAGAAACAAAAATCTTCATCTTCTGATCCAAGTTGCACAGGACAATAACCTGCATTTGAAGCATCTTGATTCAAAGTAAATGGCTCCCAGTTCTCAGGTGTAGCTGATCTGGTCATTAGTGGGTGTTAGTGTTATGTCAGGAGTCAGCAGCTGGGATAACCAGATATATGTAGCTACACCAAGAAACTGGGACCAAACCATACTTATATATCTTTAAAGTGAAATTTATTTACGGTGGATGCTAGATAACTACACACCAGCAGAGCAACAAACATGGCAGGGGCAGGAGAGGAGCTAATGGCAACAGAGTCTGGCAGCAGCAAGGCAAACGGTTCGAAAGCAAGAGCAGCCAAAACAATGACGCAAGGAGCCATAGAAGAAGTTTAACTTAAGTACCCTCCCAGCAGGTGGGGAGAAATCTGCTGGTGGACACTAAAACTGCAGCTTTCCACCTAGGGAAGCACAGTGACACCAGCAGGTGAACCAGGTCATGACCGCAACGTACCTGTATGTCGCACTGCCTGTACTGACACAAGGGGCCGTGACCATTTTATCCACCGGTAGAATGGGGATCCCAGTAATTGGGACCCGGTGATCATGTGATCGCCATGTGATCGCCATGTGATCGCATGATCACGATGTCAACAAAGCTGTTATGAATTAATTTTATTCATAACAGCTTTGCTTCTGATACTAGTGAGCTGTGATTGGCTCACATGGTATCACATGGCACCTGGGCCAACCACAGCATACTGTAGCCAATCACAGATCACCAGTATTCTGAACTGTCAGGAACTTAACCCATTCATGACGGTTCATAGCATTGCTGGGTGCACCTGTGATAAATGTGTGAAAAAAAACCAAACCTGATCAGCCCTGATAGTAGTTTAAGGTGCTTTATGGGCAGAGTAGAGATATAGGGGTTTATTTACTAAAGCTGGAGAGTCCAAAATCAGACTCCCTTCTGCATAGAAACCAATCAGCTTCCAGGCTTCATTGCCAAAGCTTCATTGAACAAGCTGAGGTTAGAAGCTGATTGGTTTCTATGCAGAAGGGAGTCTGATTTTGGACTCTCCAGCTTTAGTAAATAAACCCCATAGAGTCTATTAGACCCCAGATTTCTCAGAAAAGGATTACCTATCACTGCCTATTTCTTTCACAAGGGATATTTACATTCCCTAACTTAACAAAAAAAGGAATAAAAAATGTAAATTAAAATGGATAGTGTAAAAATAAAAAAAGCAAAATAATAAAAAAAAAAAAATTAAAGCACCCCCATGCCCCCACCCCCCCCCCCCCCGGAGCTCACGTGCAAAAGCGAACACAAGCGTTGGTCCCGTGGCGGTATCTAAACAGCGATTGCACCATACGTGTGAGGTATCACCCGCTAACATCAGAACAAGGGAAGTAATTCCAGCACTATACCTCCTGTATAAATCTAAAGTGGTAACCTGTAAAGGCTTTTAATGTGTTGCCTATGGATATAAAAAATGTATGTAGTTTTATGCAATTTTTTTTTCTATTTATTCGGTGGTTCACCTCACAGAAGGTGAACCTATGCACAGCATTCCTCTCTCTTTTTTTGGAGGAGGTGTATTATAGCACCATACACTACTTGTTTCTATTATGCATTTTATTTGCACATCTTTTGGTATTTGATGCACAGTTCATTGCATATTATAGCTTACATATTGGTATTGTTTCACAGCATCTCTCTTTTTAGGGGGGAGGTGCACTATAGCACTACACACAATTTGTTTTATTATATTTATTTCACATTGTGTTTTTGCATCTATATATCACATTTCCTTGGGGGAGGTGTACTTAACATTACAATCAGGTGCACCATCCATAGGGAGCACTTATTGCTTATTTACGCCCATTTATGCTTTATCACTTAGTTGAGGAGGTTTTTGGTTTGATCTATTGTGGTTTCCGCCTACTCACCTGGTTCACTCACATCACATCACATCAGAGTGCCCTGTAGGACTCCCTAAGGCTGGCCATACATATACAATTATCTGGAGATTTTTGGTTTAGATTTACCAAAAACCATATAATAGTAGGACAAACATAAACACTTTCAGTTGTATCCAATTAGGCAGGCCCTTGCACTACACAGTTGAAGGTAAATCTAAAGGGAATTGGGCAGAAAATTGGAAGATAATTGTATAATGTATGGCCAGCCTAAGAGTAGCTTCTTCTATATCCTATCTTACCTCATTCTGATTAGTTTTGGTGTCCTGTAGTATGACATTTTTTTTTGTTATCTAGGGATCAGAACCCAATCTACAGTGTACTGCAGTTCTAGACACACTTCTGTGAAGTGTCAGCACCACCTAATATTTTAGGAACAGCGCTACATCCTTATATTCTATTCTATTTACTCGGTGTAACATCATATTCTAACAAATAACTGGGCAATATATTGTGTTTTTGTGCATTAAAATTCAAGAAAGTGTATTTTTTCTAAAACATTGCTGCACACGTATTGTGTGCCATACAAAATTGCAACACACACCATTTTATTCTCTAGGGACACTGCTTTAAAACATATATAATGTTTGGGGGTTCAAAGTAATTTTCTAGCAAAAAATGCTGATTTTTTTCATGTAAATAAAAAAGTGTCAGAAAAGGCTTGATCTTCAAGTG